TATATATAGTCTTTGTGTGTATGTTTGGCTCTTCTCGTCCTTTTCTAATCTGGCTTTTCCCAAAGGTATTTATACCTCCCTTGGTCTCGTGGTAAACGTCACCTCACACTTGTGCCTACACACAAACTCAGGCAGGTCTGATGACAAACTGCTGTTCATTAGAGGAACTCTTATCTCTGTGAGTCACGTGGAGCTTAAAGCTACTTCCAATCAGAGAGAAGCTCCAAAGGTTCTTTTAGGTGACAACAGAAAACAMTGGCAGCCTAACTGGTGTTGGATTCTACTGGTAACAACTCATGTGATTGTGAAAAAACCCCCAAAACAAAACAAATATATTATACTGTGCACAGACACTTTTTAACCAAGGACATCATTTCCTGGATTGCAAAAGCTGTAAAATTTTCAAAGTACACAGGTATTACAGGTATTAGGTAGAGTGAATAATAAAAGCTATTCAAAACAAAGGATTCAAATGAAAGTTAAACCTAATCTAACAGATACAGTAGAGAATTCCATACAGAAGAATAACATTTATTTACACACATAAGTTAAACAAGTAGCTTGAACAGTATTAATTTAAGTTTATTTAATAACATTGAAATGAGATTAAACTGGAGTCTACATGAGTGAATTAAGATGAATTGGATTATGACTGAATTGAACTGAACTTTAAATGGATTAAATTAAACATTGCCTTGCCTTGTGTGTGGTTAGCTCAATAAATATTTCTTGAAATATCTCTCTAACAGGCAAACTTTGAGTTGACCTAATACAGATCCCTGAGGTTCACCACAAGGAAAAGTAGATTTTAAATTGATCTGAAGAAGATAACAAAATCACTGTTTCATCTCTGATTTGACTTTTACGTTGGTATTCTTCCCCTGACATGAAGAGCAAATYTTGGTTAAACCTACCTCCAACATCATTGGACCAAGAGTGTCCTTATCAATGACACCCTGCCCTGTGGAAGAGACGTCTGCTTTCTGYACCTCCTCAGCATCAGCCACCGGAGTCTTCTCTGTTACAAAGAAAAACATGGAAACAAAGCAAAGAAGATTGTTAATTTACCTTTTAAAAGATAAACGACAGCTTCAAATAGTGTTGTTTTTAAAATGATAGAACCACTAAACAGACTGACTTCATGTACAAGAAGATTTTCTACTCATAGACATTGATACATTTGTTGGTACCTTTCCATACAAATTTAACAAACTTCTAAAATCTTTGGGGCTTGTCAACGAACAATTTGATGTATTATTGTTTGGCTTTCTTTTCTTCTTACTGTATTTCTGCCAATAATGAAAACTTCTGGGTTTTCCTCCGTGAAGTCCAAATATAATTTAAATAGTGATAATGGTACGATCAAACGGTGATCGACCCTGACATTTATGGTTGGCTTTAATAGTTTGGGATGCTTTCCTCACTTGTTTATTTTTTTCCCTACCATCTACACTATCAATCTAATCAACCTGGGGTTGCATGTCCTCTTGCGTCCAAGTCCTGGGAGGTTGGCTTTTTACTTTTTCATAACATTGGTCCAATTAAAGTTTAAAACATGACTAGAAAATTAAATGTCCTTAAGAGTCCGTACTATTTTAGCATATTTACTGTAGATAAAATTAATAAATGATTTATTTTCACAATTTTTTGTTTACTTGATCACACATTAAAGACACAGAAATACTGTGGACAATTGAGTTTAACATATTTCCACAGGAAATAAAGCCTTTTTTAATGAGCTGGAAGGGTACCAACAAATTTATCCTCCTCTGCATCACATTTTTTGGCTAATCTCTCATCACCTTGTCAAGCTGATGTTTTTTTTAACCAAAGACTCCAACCTGTGAGATGAATTAAAAATCTGTATCACACCACTGAAGTCCTGCCCAGTCCTGCAGTTTTACGCTCTTCTTCATGGCTGTACTATGGGACTGTTAAGCCTCCCGTGGCCCCATTAGGCCACATAGCTGACATTCCTTTTGTGGGACCAGGGCTGTGGAGTCATCAGCCCTTAAAACCTTGTCACTGCAGAGCCTGGAATGGYACTGCAGACCAAGCCAGGGGGTGGGTGCAAGTCATGAGTTGTGTTTCTTTACATCAAGAGGTATGTYTAGTCATTCATCATTACACTTTATTACACATCAGCAGTTTGTGTAATCAAGCTTAAATCCATAAACTGCAGAGACCATCTGCGATGGTAAACAGCAAAAATACTTAAGTTTCAAATTTCCGCTTGAACAACTTGCTAAAGTTTGGCAGCGTATCTGTTGTATTGACATTTGCACAGCTCATTAGCTGCACATAACTTTATTAGAGGTTTGCAGAGAACAGCAAAAAACCTCTTCAAGCAATTTTCCCAAAGTTTGAAGCCATTCCTGTCATCCGTATTCTAAATAACTAGAATAAATATATTTTACTTTGCACAAAGTAGGTCACAGTTAGCACACTTCAGATGGAGCTCTGCACTTGTTTTGCACGTTYATGGTGCTGATTAAACAGTTGCAACATCTGCAAGCCACTTGCAACATAGTTAATTGATTTGCTTCACCTCATTTTACATATTTCTTTATCTTTTGCTCTGCTTGTTGCAGTTTTTTGCTCAGTCCGTGTTACTCCTGTCTCAAGACTTTAGGTGAAAGTTGAGTTTTGATTCAGGGCAGTAAGGCTAGTGAATGATTTGTTTCCTTACAAAACTAAAGTTGATAACCTGAGTAGCTGAGAATTTTAATATGTTTAATACGTTTTATGCTATAGTAATCTCCATTTTGTGAACTTAATTTTATTTATTGGCTTTCTGTTATCCCAAACCCAGAKACCATTTGGTTCCTTTAGCAATCTCTGGGTTTGCACCAGGATCTCCTCTCCAAAAACCTCCAGAGAGGGGCCAAAGAAGCATCTTAATCATATACCCAAACCACCTCAGTTGACTCATTTCGATGAGGAGAAGTGGCTCTACTGAGYTTTTCCTGGATGACGAAGACCCTTATGGCCAGCCTAAAAAAGGAAGTTMATTTCAGCTGCTTGAACCAGAATCTTCTTTCAGTCGTGAGCCACACTTCATGACCATACATGAGGGTTAAATAGGCTAGTGAATCAAGAGCTTCTCCTTTCAGCTCAGCTCATTCATCATCACGACAGAGAGGAGGAAAACCCTCATTACTGAAGATTAGGCCCCAATCTGTCAATCCATCTTTCTCTCCATCCTACCACCACTGATAAGGAAGACTCCAAGATTATTAAACTCGTCTGCTCGAAGCAAAGGCTCACTCCAAACCCAGAGGTYGCATCTTTGCCTGGTTAACTTCTGCATAGACTACAAGTATTTTTCYATTTGCAGCAAAATGAACATTTGTGGATCATTTTGAGACACGCAAACAAAAAAATTACAAAACAGTTTGGCTGTATTTAAATGTTATTTTGCTTCAATAACAATATACTGACTGTAATGATTAAAACACTTGGTTTGAAGTGGTTCTATGGTTTCTTTTGTTTCTAGGAACAACTACCACACCCTGTGACTGAATATGTTGGTGCAGATTTGATGATGTTGGGTCAAGACTCAGCAGTTCATCTTCATCTACATCTCAGGGGCAAGGGAAACGCTTTTGAGAACAGTTATGTGCACGTTATAGACCGGGAAGACAGGTGGGTAAAAGGTGCAGTGGAAGAAGCCATCTGTATGTTAAACATGAAAAAAATAACACTAACAGAAGACGTGGCCTCAGGCTCCATCTTTCAAACACCTACACTGCCTTGACTCGTCTCTCCAGGCAGTTCTACAATCATTTGCACCTTGAAAAGTGTGACCAAAACAGCCATGTGACTGGGCGGGTTAAAGACTCGTGTCACTTCAACGTCTTATTATTGTGATCACTGGAACAACAACTGATAACTGCCAACCCACAATCAAAACTCAGGAAGCCCTTTAGACAAGACAGCAAAACGTCTTAAAGAAACAAGAAAATGAGTTGAGTTCTTTCCTCTGACAGCATTCTAAGACAAATCRAGACACTCCAGTAATTAACAGAGAAAAACTGAGGAAAAGAGCTACATATACGGGACATTTATTATATGGTGGGCCAAATGGATAGAGCTGCATCAGAGCTAAAACACAAAAAATMTCTGAAGCTCCTATGTTGAWTAGTTTTTGTTATAYGCATTTTTGTATGCCCAGAAACCCCCTTTTTAGATGGAGCCCCCTCCTCAAATATGGGGTCTATCATAAAACCGCTGGCAGGTGCAGTGTAGGTCAGACACATCTAAGTTCGTACCGAATTTCATGTTGATAGGTGCAGTCGTTTCCGTGATAC